AAAACACACTTTTATTTACTTTTAACCATATATAATTCTTAACATGTTTGCTTGTTTTTTTCAATAATTTTTTTTTAGGTTGGCTTGAATTATTTATTAAAAACTTTGGGTAAAAGCTACCAAAATACAGCAGCTACTATAGATCTTGGAGGTGGATCAGTACAAATGGCTTTTGCTTTATCAAAGGAAAATTCAGAAAAAGCCCCCAAAAATTTAGATGGAGAGAATTATGTGTTGCATAAATCCCTCATGGGAGCTAATTATTACCTTTATGTTCATAGGTAAAATTACTTTTAAATGTCGTTGAATTCTATCTTTTAACTTCTTCGTACATTTACTTCTTTATATAAAAATTCTGACTCTGTTGCTATACATAAAATTATAACTTTTTATGCAGTTATTTGAACTATGGTTTACTAGCATCAAGAGCTGAAATTCTTAAAGTTTCAAGAAACTCTACTAGTCCATGCATTTTGAAGGGCACTGATGGTACATAACCATTTAAATATAACACCGTTTGAATAGGCACAAAGTTTTAAGATTTATTGTTTAAACAAATCATAAATACAATAACATATTGAGTGAAATCTTACTGGTGTATGCAGACCTTAATTTTTGAGGAAAAATATAGATATTTATATAAATTCAAATTATCTCTTTACAAATTTAACCATAATATATACTATTTTATTTGAAGGTTACTACACATTTGGGGGAGTAGCATACAAAGCTTCACCTTTACCAAATGGTTCAAGTTTAAGAAAATGCAAGGCAATTGTGTGGAAGACACTTAAGTTAAATGCACCATGTAAATATCACACTTGTACCTTTAATGGTGTGTGGAATGGTGGAGGTCTTGATGCTATCAAGAATATATATATTTCATCATTTTTCTTTGATATGGCTTCTGAGGTAATATAAATAACTATTCGTTAATTCTTAATTCCCAAAGTTGAAGAACGTAACATAGATATCAGCAGAGGCCAAGATAAAGAACACGTTACATTATTGAGCACATTATTATAACATGAATTATTATATTACAGGTTAATATTGTTGATCCAAAAGCATCATCTGGCAAAGCTAAGCCAATACAATACCTAAATGCAGCCAAGATTGCTTGCAAGCTAAAAGCTGAAGAAGTAAAATATGTGTTCCCTAATGTGGATAGTAAAGATCTCCCATATCTTTGCATGGATATGATTTACCAATTCTCTTTACTTGTGGATGGATTTGGTAAGTATTGGTATAACGATGTCGTTTGTTTAAATATTTTTTGGCTAGTATAAAGAACATATAACCTAATATATAAAGTTAAAAACCGATTCTCTAATAAATTGATAGTTATATATAATGAAATGATATTGTAGAGGATAACAGTTACATAGAGCTGTAACAATAAAGTCGCTCAATATTACTACATGATCATTATAAGTAATAAGTTTATCTTGATATATGGGTAGACTTTGTTGTTATAGCAGGTAAAGTTTATCGACTTTATTATTATACTCTCTCTATATCATCTTATGTGATCGAATGTGTATAATGTATAAAATATCTTTTGATTCTTGCGTTGAAATATGTCACATAGAGTAAAGTTAAAAAGGTAAAATACAGTAGAAAGTTTTTCTTTTATACAAACTAAAAAAGGATAAGTTTGTGTAAAAAGTCAAATAAATAAAGTTTTGTTGTAAATCCATTGTATATGTGGATGATCCATTAGAGTTATCCAACAATTAATTAGATTCATGTATTAGTGTTTCCAATGTGATAAGATATCAAGGTGATATGAACCTTGATGATAACTATGTAAATTTCAAGGTGACCTTTGACTATGATATCTCAACACTATAAATAGAGATATCATTCACCATTGTATGATATACTTGAATAAGAAAGATTATCTCCTCTATCTTATACTTCTTGTCTTTTTCATCTTATATTCTGAGCTTTCTTTACAACAAGTTTTAGTTAATTTATTTTTTTGATTATTTTTCAGGTTTGAATCCTCATAGAGAGATTACATTGGTGCATGATATTAATTACAAAAATAATCGTGTGGAAGCAGCATGGCCATTGGGTTGTGCAATTGACGTAGTCTCATCATCATCTTTGAGGACTCACATTTCATCTTCTTAATTAAATATTATTTCTAATTAATTAGATTGCCTTAAAAAGTATCATACAATACTAATATTATTCATTTGTGAGTTAATGCTTTGTAATGCCTTGCGTTTCTCTTGTTTAATTAATTTACACCTTATTGGATGATCGGTACATATCATTTTATAATATATCGAATCGAATTATATTGTATTATTTTAATAAATGTAATATTTGATATATGTGTAGACTAAATAAATAAATAAAATTATTAAAACTTGATAAAAATTGAACGGTTAAGTTATGACTTCTTATCAATTCGTTTTGACTCATCTCATTCGTTTTGATCCATTTTGACTCATTCAAATTTAATTTAACTCGTCAAGTTGTTATTTAGTGGCAATTCAAGAGCGGATTACAATAAAAATAATCTTTAGCGGCATTACATATTAACATTAATAAAGAGTGCTTAAGTCTTGATCGATATTAGTTAAGTGCCTTTAGAACCAATATCGCAAAAGGTTTTAGAAACATATATAAAGAGTGTCAATTGTCGCTAAAAATACATACTCCCTCTGTCCCTTTTTCCTTGTCCACTTTTGAATTGGCACACCTATTAAGAAAATAACTAATGACGTAGTGAGTTTACCATTTTACCCTTATTAATTATGAAGTGGATGAAAAGTTCTATATTTTTAAAGTAATTAGTCATTTAATTGTGGATATAATAGGTAAAAAAATTGTCGTTTTCTAATTTATGAAAACGGACAAGTAATTAGGGACAACTATAAAAGGAAAAATGGATAAGTAATGAAGGAAGAAAATAGTATTTAGCAGCATTTAAGAATTAATTATCATTAATAATTATTTTTATTATAGTGCGGTAATTAATTAAGGTATAGTGGAACATCATGACGTATTAGTTGTATTTTATTTTATTTTTTAAAAAGGAAAGAGGAAAAGTCAGAAGTTGCAATACTATATTTGTTCTCCAATAAATAAAATAAAAATTAGCAAATCACATTATATAAGAAAGAAATCATTTACTTTCTATAACTATCCTTTCATTAATACAATATGCAACTTGTATTAACCTTTGGTGGGGAATTCAATTACTACTCACTTTTTGTGTAATCGTAATATTGTTATTTTAATGTGCATCATTATAATGGGTGCACATTAAAATGGACAAATTAAAATGAACGGAGAGGAAGTATTTTGCGAAAGAGTTAATAAGGTAAAATAATAAATTTACTATATTAATTATTATTTTTTTAAGAGGCGTTTCAAATTAAAATTTAATGAATAAAAAGGGATGATAAGAGTATATACTTTGTGTATGGAGATTTATGTCTTTGCTTTGACTAGTTCTTGAGATGTTAAAAGAAATTTCAAATAATATTAATTTGATTTTCATGACCAAACACACACCTGTCGATCTCAATTACGTAAAATCTCTATAAAAGAATGTCTCTAAGTCAACTACTAGTTAGACGATTCATGAAGAACTTATATTATAAGAAAATATTCAAAAAGGAGAAAAAAAAATGAAGGAGAAAAAAGAGGAGGTAAATAGCGTGTATATTTATGATACATTAAGTAAGCAATATAGTTGTTTATGTAAAATACTAATTGCAAAGAATCAATTAGGAATTTGGTTGAAAATAGAATTAAGTACTATTAATATTTTCTATATTATCATTGTAACTAATTCTTTTTAAAAGTCTTCATATTTATTTATAAAAAAAGTCCTAATTTTTTGAAAAAGTGAATTGATAAAATTATATCCGTTTATGATTTTTTAAGCACCATACAAAATGAAAAAGTGATCAACTAATGGGATACCAAAAGTATTAGATTACTCTCTCCATGTTATCGTAATATTATCATTTTATTTATTGCTAATGGATCTGTGTCATTACACTGGACAAATTAAAGTGAACGAGTGTATCGATAGCAAATTAAATTTCTTACTTAGGATCAACAAGCATTGTAATGCAATAGAAAGTACTCATTCATCTTTAATTAGACTCTTGGGTTTGAGCTTCCCTTGATATAAAGTCCTTTTTTTAGGAAATACTTTATCTCCGATGTAAATTTTTTTGGTGCAAATCTAAATTTATGAAGTTCCAATGAGGTACCAACAACAAGTAAAAAATTAAATCAAATAAAAAGAAGGAAAAATGCACAAGTACCCTCCTAGACTATGACCAAAATTCGAAAGACACACCTTAACTAAACTAAGGTCCTATTACTCACTGAATTTTATTATTATTTTTTTTTGTAATTTTATACAACTTTTCTCTTACGTGGCACACTCCATGACTCCACATAATTGAGACGCACGGGAGATATTTGGGTGTCACGTAAGCCAAAAAGATACACAAAATTACAAAAGAAATAAGTACATGAGGTAATAGGACCTTAGAATAGTTAAGGTAAATCTATGAGAATTTGATCATAGTCTAGGTAGGTACTTGTGCATTTTATTAATTTTTTATTTTTAAAAAATTCAACATGAATATAACAACAATTTTAAAGAATTCGAATAATTTAGATTAAAATAACATATTAAAAAGGAAATTAAAGTGAAAGAGAAGAAAGATGAGGCAATACCAAAATATGATAATCTTAATAAAAACATCATTGATGAGGCAATACCAAAATATGATAATCTTAATAAAAACATCATGACATATTTCTTGTATTATTTTAATAATAAAAAATAAAAGAAGAGGAGAAGTAAGAAGTCGTAAAATTTGAAGTCCAAGTTGCAATAATACTATATTTGTTCTGCAATAAATTATTCACTTTGAGTGTAACCGTAATATTGTTATTTTTTATTTACTATATATCTCGTTATAAATGAACAGAGACTGAGAGTAAACAAATTAAATTTCTTACTTGCATAAGTTAAATCTAATATTATATTGAGCTTTATTGATTTCATTCATGAATACTCAACGGGATTCATCTTCCCACTTGTCTTATGATGTGTTTCAGAGGTGAAGATACTCGCAAAAACTTCACGAGTCATCTTTATTTTCGATTATGTCAAGTTGGAGTGAATACTTACATAGATGATGAGGAATTGAGAAAGGGAGACGTCATTTCAAACGAACTTGACAAAGCAATTGAACAATCTAGAATTTCCATTGTTGTTTTCTCAAAAAATTATGCTTCGTCTAGTTGGTGTCTTGATGAACTTGTAAAAATTCTCGAATGCAGAGCGAAGTTAAATCAGGTCGTTTTGCCTATTTTCTATGACGTTGATCCTTCTCAAGTGCGAAAGCAATCTGGATCCTTTGGAGAAGCTTTCGCAAAACAAAAGCAACGATTATTTGGAGCTGAAATAATGGAAAAGTGGAAAGCAGCACTCACTGAAGCTGCAAATTTATCTGGATGGGATTTGCGAAATATTGCTGATGGGTAAAACTTCTTAATCTAACTATAGAATTTTGAATTTAAGAATTCGCCTAAGCCTATAAATTTTGAAACATTGCAAAATTTCTTAAAACTCAGTGCCCAATCAAACTAACAGAGTACATAATAATAATCGATGATCTGATAAAATAACAGCAATTAACCTGTTAAATGTAGTTTAGAATCTATTAATAGCATAAAAATACCAATATGTATAAATAAATTTTGTTCTCTAACCTGGAGTCGCTGTTGTCTGTTGGCTATTGATTTTGTTTTGTTCATTAGATGATATCAAATATCAAAGTGTTGTGTTGCTTGTTTTTTACTTTTAACTTTTGTTGTTGCTATAAAATCACAGGCATGAATCAAAATTTATTGAAAGTATTATAAAACAAGTTCTTCAAGAGGTCAACCAGACACCTCTAGATGTTGCTCATTACCCAATTGGATTAGATTCTTCTATCCAACATCTAGAGTTGTTACTTCAAAGTGGATGTGAGCATGAAGTTCGTATGGTCGGTATATGTGGCGTTGGTGGTATTGGAAAAACAACTCTGGCAAAAGCCATCTACAATCGAATATTTCAGCAGTTTGATGGTAGTTGCTTCCTCTCAGACGTTAGATCAAAAACTGAAGAATTTGGTCTAGTCAAACTTCAAGAGAAACTACTTAATCAAATCCTCAAAAGTAAGGAATTTGAAGTTGATAGTGTTGCTGAAGGTGTTAATCTCATCAAAGCGAGACTTGGGTCTCAGAAGGTTCTAATTGTTCTTGATGACGTAGATCATAGAAGCCAATTAGAATCGTTAGCAAGAGAAAAAAGTTGGTTTGGCTCTGGTAGTGCAATAATTATTACAACCCGAGACGAGCATTTGCTGTATGGGCTTGGAACAAGTGAGATATACCAGGCCAAACTTTTAACTGACAACGAAGCTCAACAACTTTTTTCGCGTCATGCTTTCAACAGTTTGTCTCCACCACAAGAATACGATGAGCTGGCACAAGACGTAATACAGTATTCAGGTGGGTTACCATTAGCTCTTGTGACATTAGGGTCACATTTCCAAGGGAGATCCATAGAGGAATGGAGACACGAGTTCAAAAAACTAAGAGCAATTCCTCATTGTGATATTCAAAAGATTCTCAAAATAAGCTTTGATGGACTTGATGACAATACTCAGAGTGTTTTCCTTGATATAACATGCGCCTTCCATGGATGTTACGAGGATGAAGTGACCAAAACATTGAATGCGTGTGGTTTTTATACTGAAAGTGCAATTTCGACCTTAGTCCAAAGGAACTTGCTCCAAAGGGATTGCCGTTATTTGGTGATGCATGATCTAGTGCGGGATATGGGAAGAGAAATCGTTCGATTGGAATCACCTCGAGACTCAGGAAAACGGAGTAGATTGTTCAACCCTCAAGAAGTCCGTGATGTTCTACAAGGAAATAAAGTCGGTAAATTCGTATCATCTTTGTTTGATATACATTATATTTGCTTATAATTTAAGTTGTTACCACAAAAACTCATTTCATTGGTGCTCAATACTTCTCTAGCTAGTAAATTATCTCTAGTTGTTTGGTAACCACTCTGTACTTGAAATGAGTCAATCAAATAAAATTCGGCTATTTAACAATAATATAAATTGATTTGTTGAAAGATATAATGTGTAAATTTAATTTCTTGGTAGATAATTTTTGTTCTCTTTAATTGGTATAAAACATTTCTCTCTCTTAGTTTCTTATACTTAACATGGTCTTATGGTACTTCTCCTTTTACTAAATTACAGGGTTCTGAAAATGTAGAAGTACTGGTGGTAGAACGACGGGCATTAAAGGGTGTGAAGCTGAGCATCAAAGCATTTCAGAAAATGATAAATCTTAGGGTGCTTAAAATCGACGACTTATATATTAGTGGAGATTTTGAGCTATTATCCAAGGAGCTCAGATGGTTGTCTTGGAAAGGATGTCCTTTAAAATACATACCATCAAATTTTCCAGCTGAAAAGCTTGTAGTTCTGAATATGGAAGGGAGCGATGTCCAAGACTTTGGTTTGAATTTGCAGGTTCATTACTCATTTTTGCAATTTCATGTGTACTGTTATATCGCAATTACGTGAAAGACAATGTTCATTGGAATTGTATTTTGTTTACTTTTTAGTGTTGTAGAAGTTTGAAGGAGCTGAATCTCTCTGATTGCAAGCGCCTCAGAAGTACTCCAAACTTCAGCGGTTCTAGAAGTCTCAAGATTTTGTCGTTTGAGAATTGCTCAAGTCTAAAGGAGATCCATCCATCAATAGGAAATTTGGAAAGTCTAATTGAACTTCAATTGAGTGGTTGCAAAAAGATTACGGATCTTCCGAGCAGCATATGCCAGCTAAAATCCCTTGAATACTTGTGCATTAATGACTGCTTATCTTTACAAACACTTCCAGTTGACATTGGAGATATGCAAAACCTAGTAATTCTTCATGCATGGTGTACAGGGATAAAACAATTGCCAGTATCTGTTGAAATGCTAAGAAATCTTGAACATTTGCAAATGGGAAGTCGAAATTTAGAGGCCAAAAGGAGTTTTTCTCGAAGAAGAAGAAGAGTCCGCCGCATAGAATCCTTGCCAATTTTTATTTTTCATTTAAGCCTTCCATATTTTGGTTTCTCCGAGCATGATATTCCTAGAGATATTGGAAGATTATCCAACTTACGTTATTTAGATTTGAGGGGCAACAATTTCCTCTATCTACCCTTTGATTTTTCCAAATTACCGTTGTTGATTTCCTTGTTTTTGAATGATTGTAAGCATCTTCAAACACTCCCATCACTATCAAATTTAGACTACCTTGAAAATCTTTATCTTAGTAATTGCCAAAAACTGGTCAAGATTACAGGGTTGGACTACCTCCCGTCAATAAAGAAGATCAACATGATTGATTGTACTTCCCTGCAGAATCAATTCAATGAAGGCTTCTTTAGTGCCATTGCTCTATCAATTCCGTCTATAAAATATGCAGATATTAAGGTTTAGTCCCTCTTCTTCTCTCTCATATCACATTATTAATGATATTTGTCTTGATTAATATGTTTGCTGAAGCTGCAGTTACAAATTTATGTCGAAAGCAATGAGATTCCAGATTGGTGCAACAATAAAGTAACAGCTTCATCTATTTGTTTGACTATGCCCACAGTACAGAATAATGAGTATAACTTCTTCGGAATGGTTCTCTGGTTTGTTTCCCACTTTTGCAATGTAACCACCCGTCTTCAAAAGTTTGATGTTACTATTGACGAGCCTTCAGGTTTTTTCTGGAATTGGAGTTTCTATGTACCTGAGAGTCAGGGAGAAGTATCATGTGTATATTACTTCTCTTTCTCAAATGGTAGACCTTTTAATGACCTGGACATCATCAAAGGCGGGGAACAGCTACGAGTAGAGGATGGCAGTGACGGAGGCATAATAAAGAAGATAGGAGTACATCTGTTATATTTAGATCAACATGGTAATGTTACTTCTTTCCCGGCAGTTGTGGATGATTCTTATACTCCCAAGTCCCAACCCACAAAGATCGATCTTTGATTTGGGCTGATATAAATTTTTAAGCTGACAAAATGTTGACAAGCAAACTACATATTATAATTTTCAGCGCCTCATACTATATCAATCATGAAATTTTCAGTGAAATGTGCTACTGTAACGAGGTTTGACTGTACTAGTATAATGTGAAACCATCATCGTACGAGACATGCCGCCCTTACCTGCAAGGTGGGGCATTTTCATCAGACATGCTCAAATGCAACAAATCCATACGGATATGATGATGCAAATTGAAAGATCGCGAAAGAAATTAAACAAATAGAAGCTAGAATGTCAAATGACTCACTAATAATGCATCAATCTCAGAGTCCAGACCAAAACAGAACACAAGCAGGGGTAAATCAATGTCTAAATGTATTATGGACTACCCGTAGAAATCCATGGTATTAGCAATATACACCTTAACGCACAATAGAGTGTATAACTAATGCAAACATTAATTATACGTAAGTTGGAAAAGAGTACCAAACAAGGTGCTACTGATACACAAGACTGACACATGCATTATTTTTTTAATACACTCTACCTAGCGATCTCTAAAGAGTGCTTAAAACCGACGACTTACATATTAGTGGAGATTTTGAGCTATTGTCTAAGGAGCTTAGATGGTTGTCTTGGGAAGGATGTCCTTTAAAATGTATACCATCATATTTTCCATCTGAGAAACTTGTATTTCTGAATATGAAAGGGAGCAATATCCAAGAATTAGGTTTGAATTTGCAGGTTTGTTACTCAATTCTGCAATTTCATGTGTACTGTTATATTGCAATTACGTGCAGGGGTGACTCAATGCCTTTAAAGAAAAGACACGTGTCTTGGACCATCAAAATCGCGCAGGGGTGACTTACATGCAGGTTTGCAGGGTTTTTTTTTAAAAAAAGGCTATGAAAATATATTTGAACTTTGACCAAAATTGTTATTATGATATCAAACTTTGGAAATGACCTTTTATCCCTGCACTATTTAATATTATATTTTAAAGGTATATATATATATGTGTGTACTCAGGTAGACATAAAAAATATTGCATAGTTATAAACAGTAATATGTTCACGTGGGCACATATATACCTTTAAAATACACTACTAAATAGTCCAGGGAGTAAAAGATACACTTTTTATAGTTCAAGAGGTAAAAGAACCATCCACAAAATTTGGTATCGTAAAAATAATTTCCGCTAAAGTTGGAGTATTTTTAGACCTTCTTTTTCCATTTTTTTTAAGAAACTCACAACCACCAACAAAAATATGTGTCAAGTCGAATGATTATATGTACACATCGTAAAACTAGTCAAGTTGGATGATTTTTCTAATTTCTAGAAATTAAGGGTTTAAATCATATTAGAAAAAAACATATTAAATTGTAAACATTCTTTGTAAAAAGTATGGCCAAGTACAACTCCGACTTCAAAAAATTCAAATAAAGTATTTTTTTCATAACTATAAGCCTAAGTAGTTTCACTAAATTTTCAGTATTTCTTATACATTGTATAGAATGTGAATTACATTGTATATAACGTGCGTACGTACTAAATATTTTATTAAAGGAAATCTCTAAAAGTTGGACGTAATATTTATAAAATAATTTTTTAATATAATATTTCTAAAAATAGAAATCTACTGTATATATATTTCAAGACTTATGTATTATTACGTTAAAAGTCAATTTACTTGATGATGCAAAAAAACATATAAACTAAGAACACACAAAATTAAAATTCTGAAAACGAAAGATGCATTTACGTATACCTTTTAGGTAACTTTGATCTTCTCGCCATGACTAAGACATGATCAAGTTTTAAAATATATATTTTTATTGGTTCAATCAGTTTCTTAATAAAAATAGATTGAGGATGATTGTTGTTATATTTTAAATAATATAAGAATATTTTTTGTTCACTTGAATAATATAATGATATACATTAAATTTGAGGGATGATTTTAATTAAAAACTCTAAATATTTGAATTTATGACTATTCTTTATAGTTTGAAAATAACATAAAATCATAATGATTTGTCATAATTTGTGTATCAAATCTAAACTTTATAGTTTCAAATTTTTTTTAAACAATACAGAACTACATTCGTACAAGTAAGGAACTATTTAAGATATATATATGGATAGAGTTTCTCAGTCTTTTTGGTCTAGATGGTCACGTTTCTTGATTCTTAAAAGTATAGAAATTACCGATAAGAGTTGTGATGGAGTGTTATGTACTTATTTATTCTTAATTAGAGATTTTGAGCTTGTGTTTTATAGGTAAGAAATCAACTTTTTTAGAAAATGTTTAATCCATCAATATAGACTATCCCACAATAACTCAAATTTAATCGAACTCTAATGTGAATTGAACACTGGATGAAAAAAAATGAAAAAAAGTAAAGGAGTATAGTTATTACTCCTCAAAGTTCAAAATTGTAATATCTAAAACGCCTTTAAAATTTGACCATAAAGTTTGAGAAAGATGGTGTATACATAATTTTACTTTTATTTTGTATAATTATTTTACTTTTATTTTCTATAAGTAAAGAAGTTTTAATAGATATTTATTTCAAGTAGAGCATGATAAAAATCTAATATAAAAAGAAAAAATATAATAATAATGTAATTATGTTGAATATAATGGAGAAGGTTATCGTAACAATCAAATGCAAATGTATTTTTCCTTATTTAGGTTTTGTGCATAGAAAATTAAGGTCTGTTCTCTTTGGTCCATTAGTGCAAATTTCATTAAAAGTTAACAAATATTATTCAACAATTAAGTATTATCTATCTTTAATTTCTAGGACATGACGTTATTTAATTAAAATGCGTCATTTTCACTTTATTATTTGAAATAAACAAATTCTTCATTTTTTGGGTAAAGTTTTTTAGTCAATAAATTAATTCTTGGATATCTTCGAATTCTTTGACTAACTAGATAGAGGTGGCCCGTGCCAACGTTGGAAGATTTTTGTTAGTTGGATCTAAATATATAAAAATGTATGAGCCGGCTAAATGTACATATAGAGATACATAGATATATGGAGATCGTTAGATATTGTAAATATAGTTGGCAATTGTTTAGTTTGTTTTTCTGGCTGTATTATTTAAATATTTACATCCTATTATATTTACATAGTTCTGCCTTTGGCTGCTTTTCAGAGTTGGGCAGCTCCAGATAAAAATTACCTGTGAAATAAGAGGAAAAATGAATTTAGTACAACTTAAAGTGATTAGATTATTTAAGAATGAATATAATATAGTAAATGTGGATCACTGGATCAACAATTCTAAAATTTGTTAGTGAATGGAGTATTTCAGAATTAAAGACAGCATGTAACATTAAAATATAGTATAATCATTTTGGATTGTACCTGAGAATTTTGACGAAGTAGACAACAAAAGTTTATGCCATCAACATCAGAAGAGCCATCAACATTTGAAGGTATCAATTGTTGGAGAAATAGAATGACAAATGAATGTAGTTTGGTTAATTAGAGTTAGATCAGGATTCTAATTAACAAAATGAATGTGTATTTGCGTTCGTGGTAGTATGAATCAAGTAAAAATAAGTTGTGAAGAGAATACCTTTCAGTCCTCCTCCATCATGATCTGGTACAACTTGCATTTGCTGCTTTCTAGAGTTGCTGGTGCAGTGAATGACAATAGGTGCTCCACATCCCTTGGAAGTTTTGATGCTAATTATGTACTGGCAGTAGCAGCAGCAGAAATAGAGCCACATAAAGACGCAATTGCAAAAAGAACTGTCTCTAAATTGCTACCTCTAATGCAATATAGGCAGTCCATTTTTGCATGTAGGCCAATTGTCAAGAAATGTTGTTCATTCCATGTGTCTCTCTCCATAGTTAGAGATAAAGAGATGTCCATACGTAGTTAGTTCAGTGTTGTGAATGTAATGGTAATTGCTTAAGGTCAGGTGGGTGACAATGGCTTGGTACAATTGAGGATAGAAAGAGTGCACTGACAGAATAAAGTAGGGTACATAGCATCTACCATAATCAAATATACATCTGTTAATTTGAGAGCCAGATTGGTTTCCTATATGTCTATATATGTAGTAGGTTCTTGGCATGCTGAGATGTCCTATTTTGCATATCTTTTTTATCTGAACTGAAGTAACTTCCTAGTGGAATCCTATAAGGTCTTGATGCTGCTGGATATTTTATCCTTAACTTGACAAAAGATAGAAATTCCAAAATCATTGCGAAACAATTCATAAAGTTCTCAGCAGCCACAATTTCTTGAAAACCAAGGCAAGACAGCAGCACAACACCTGATGCAGAAAATAAAATACTGATAAAAGGGGTTCCATAACGCCATCTCTTTGCGAAAAAATCAGGAAGCATCCCCCGTTCTGCCATTCCCAAAAGCTGATATGAGTCACCACTCATCTCAGCTAAAAACATTCCCATATTTGACACAGCTGAAGCCCCTTGAACCCACAATCTTAACCATACTCCTCCAATGATCTTAGCAATATCCGAGAAATAACCATCACTCCAAAGATCACGATGCAACGGAACAGCTCCCGTGCCAAATAAAAGAGGGAGAAAGTAACCAGAGACAACTAAAGGAAGTGCGTAGAATAAAGCCTTAGGAATTGTTTTGCCAGGATCCTCCACTTCCCCTGCCATAGTACTCACTGAATCCCAATAATTCAAATTCCAAAAAAGTGTATTTAGATACAATCCCCATTGTACATTTTCTAAATCCACAACAAACCATCTTGAAGGCTCCAACTTAGGAAGCGCGATAACTCCCATAATTAGAAAAGGAAGGAGAGTAAATATCACTAAAACTGTAGCAACCCAAGCAACAATAGTTAAACCTCTATAGTTCAAATATGTAAGTGCAATAACCAAAGCAACAATGACGATTGTTCTTGGTAGACCATTTGCCAATGCTGGGACAGAAGATTTAATGTAGTCTAAATATATATATATATATATATATATAAAAAGAACATGATCAGGGGTCTTTTGGAGGTATCATTTGTAAGGACAGAGCATACCAACATAAATTTTGAAATAATAGTCACCCTTAAATAATATCTAATCAAGACGTTGAATATTTCAAGTGGTTGTTTCTCAAGCGGGAACGACTTAAATGTAGAAAGAAAAAGAGATGAAGGGAGAGCCATTGTATTTGTATTTTAGACACTATATTCTACATCAGCATTGCATATCTATCGCAACTCCAATAATAAAAAAGGCTGATGTGTTTAACAGAGCCATGTCCTTGATAAAAGAGTGTCTTTTAACTTCTCTCTCTACTCCACATGAATTTACACAAGCATAACATCACTAATTCTAGTGATGAAAAAAAGATTGTTATGTGTTTTTGAATAAATTTGAATCAAGTAAATCAGATAGATTTCATGAGGTAAGTAACTTAGTTTTTGTTTTTCTTTATATCATACAAAAAAGCAATCTAACAAAATATACTTTCAAAAAACAATGTTATGTGTACACTACATCTACCTCTAAAAAATTATAGAATCAAAATGTGTGTGGTTAGATTAAACAACTTATTAACAAAATTTAACTCGCATACCTATAAAATGCATTAACTTTATAAGCATCATTATAACAAACGCCAAGTAAAACAGCAACATTAACCTAAAATTGCTGTCTTTTAATAGGCTCTGAAGGAGAAAGTAAATCAATACAAAGCTAATTATGTTAACTCTCTCAAACAAAAGGATAGAATGGTCCTAAACAAGGCTAAAGCAGAGTTAATAATTCATCACAAAATGGTTGGTAGTTTCTGGAAATAAAAACAGAAACAAAAAGTCAACTTTAAATGGCAACTCGAGGGGGATGGAAATACCATGTTCTTTCACAGCAAGTTAGAGGAATAAGGAAGATATTACATATCCATAGAGTCAATGTGAATGATCAGTGGATTGAAGGGGACGATAACATATGACAAGCTACAAGGTATTCCTGTCAAGATCTTTTCAGCAAAGGAAATGACAATATTGCTGGCCCTGATGGTTTCAACACCTTGTTCTGGGACATTATTGGCGCTCATATGGTTTAATTAGTGAAGGTTGTGTTCAATGGAAAGCAGATGCCTATGTTTTTAACCAGTACTTGCCTAGTTGTAATACCTAAACAAAAATCTGCTAGGAATAACTGAGGAACAGTATCCTCACAATCCAAAAAGAACAAGGCAAACAAATTCACCCAACGAAGTACAACGATTTAAATTATTGGGGCTTTCAAAGCAATAGGAAATCGAACATCAATAACAAACCCAAGTGAAGAAAGAAGAAAATATTAACACACCCAGATCAAATTTGGTCAAAGGAAGATAAACAAAAAGGAACGTCTAAATTGAAAACACAGCAAGAAGACACGTAGTAACAATTTAGAGTTGAAAAGACTAAAATGCCCCTAGACTTGTGAAATAGGCATGTTGAGACGAGCCTCTTCTATAATAGTAGAAAAAAAGAAAAGAAATACTACATTCAGCAACTTAAAAATAAATATCCAATATTTATTCAATAAGAATCTTAGACTATATATTCAAAGCAATTTTGATGTATGGCACAAAGTGAATCCACATAGAGGTTAAATAAATACCCAATACATAAACGTACATTTTTATTTGATATTTATATTTTCTAACTTCATAAATATATAAATAAATATTTAAATTTGTATAAAATTAAATAAATAAATATATACATCATACATAACAATATTTGACGTATATTATTCTACGTAAAACACATAATATTAAAGAAGTTTAAATTAAATCACTGCTTGATTGCCTGATGCTCTGGGTGCCTTCTGAGTACTCTATGACAAATACTACTCAACAAATTTGAAAAATATATATTAATCCAACATTTCTAATTTCTAGGAAAACTGATTCTTTTTAAGTTAAAAAATATAGTTTTCATTTAGTAATAAAATATTAAATTTTGCAGTTAAATTTCATAGTAACTTGGTATTCTTTTCTACTCTCTAGGTTCATTAATGCAACAGCTTCCTCGTTGAAATTTGTTATTTATCTACGTATAATACATCATATTTTACATTATCTATCATAATAATTTGACGCAATACATCGATAATCTCATAAATTTATTAATATATTTTATTTAAATATATAATAATATATTTTGTTAGAGATTTCTGACTTAAATTTTAATTTTAAATGCCTATTGCATATGTTTTCAAGCAGTTATTACTTAAATAAGATAATTACTTAAAATATATCATCTTATGAATCATATACGAAATCGATAATTATCACGTTTTCTACTATAGCATTGTTTTGTCTCAATTCTTATGTGTCAAAATATAAGAGTCATAGTGTCGTTGTCATAACATAAAAATATCTTCTTCCTTTTCATCCTAAATCGTTTAATTTTGTTTAGCCAAAAGTTGGCATTAAGCTACATGATGTCAATCAATTGAACCGAAAAGGCCAAAACATTTTTAATAATGTATAAATGGATATTGCTAATTCAGTTTATTAAAGCAAACTTTCCTTAAAATATATTACTTTTTTCGTATATCTTTTACTTATCTGCTACATCAAAAGTAGATGTTCACTTTTACTTTATTCAGCATAAAATATCAAAAAATAATTTATTTTTTTATCTATATTAATTATCTTTATTATTAACTACTAATCATTTTTATTTTTCAACATTTAAATAACATATAATGATTAAGAGTGATAAAAAATAAAAATAATTATTTTATTTTATACAAAAAAGAGTTGGGTCAAACATGGATAAATTAAATTAAATAATCATCGACCAGATTTTAAAGATTTCTAAGATATCTCAACATTTAAATAATTTATATTCCCTTCATTTTGAATTAATCAAATCATTCAGATATTTTTTATTTTTTAAATTAATTAATTATTCAATTTCTAGACTAATTTTGGAATATTCTTCTAATTCTATCCTTCATTAGTTAGTATTGAAATTACTTATTAATTAATTTTTAGTTATTTTAATTATAAATTTGACGATAATTAATAAGAAAAAAATAGAAAGTTATACTAATTTATGTCCTGATCTTCTTTTTTAAGAGGACGTGATATATCTCAACAATTCAATTAATTTGATACAGTAATAACTAACAGTGACAGTAGTGAAATAATTATTTTATTTGTTTTTTTTAAAAGAAAAAACTAAATTAAACATGGACAAATTAAATAAACATGAAAAAGATTTTAAAGATTTCTAGGATATTATAAAATAAATAGTCAACTCAATTGTGTAATAATCTTCAAATACAAAAAAAAAAAAAAACTTCAAATAGTACCATAAATGAAAAAAAAATGTCTGGATAAACTATAAATGATTAAGACAATCACACCAATCCATCACTAACCTTATCATCATATTTATTAATTATTTAACAAATATAGATAACTTTATTTTTATGATTCATTTGTGAGTTGTCAAGATATGGATAGAGAGGTCATCTGAAGATCTTCAATTTTAAATATTAAAAAAAAAAATCAGAATCAAATAAATAGATCAAATAATTTTTTAAAAAATAAATAGATGCGTAATTTAAATTTGAATTTTTATATTATAAATTTTTATGGACTTCTTATGTCATCTTCCATATATACTTTCCCTCAGTCCACCGTCCCTCGTTATCTAATTAGATATTAAAGTCTTATTGCTTTGAAAATAAATTTTTGTACAAATACTATTAGATATACGTGAAATAAAAAAATTGACATCTTATGTTTATACCAATTCAATAATACATGACACATATTTTTATATATTCTTTTAACTTAATTATAATTGGTATATACATATTTTCACATTAATTTAAAGAATTTAAAACGTAATCATTACAAATGAGTACAATTTAATATAATATCGTATTTGAATAAACTTTTACATCACGCAATGCACCAAAACAGTGGCAGATATATGTAGGTTTTGAATGACGACAATAAATATAAAAAATTAACTATCAATTGAATGGTTATTTTATAAATTATCAAACGTTGTATTATGACAAATCCATATGTTAATATATTTTTAAAAGTGTTAAAGAAAAATTATAATATCAAATTTTAAAAAGTGTTAAAAGAGAAAATTATAGTATCAAATCATTCAAATGTTATTTACAGACAATTTCTTAAATTGTAATTTAAAAACATATCTAATTGTTTAAAAAAAAAGGAATTTACACCAAGGTTCACCCAACACTTCTTTTTCTTTCTTTCTTTTATATATATATATATATATATATATATATATACAAAACATATCAAAGGATATCAAATTTTCAATCAATCCTTTGAAAATAACAATTGTCGAGACAATATTTATTTTACCTTCATAAGTATTCAATATATCGAATCAAATTTAAATTTTTGGTTCATTAATCTTGTTGAGCTATGAATAAATTATTTATATGCATTTTAATAAACTTTTAATATAGACACAAAAACTAAATATACACTAATTAATTTCTTAAATTTATCAAAGTATTCCATTTTAAATCATGTTTTCAATTGAACACCATAATAATTTCTAAAGAAATGTTTTAACTATATATTTTTATTTAAATGTAGAAAGAAACAAAATGCATGTCTTCTTTTTTATCTTCTTTAATTATACACACTAAATTCAGATTAAAAAAATAAGAAAAACTACCTGATATGGCAAATTTCAATATATATTTAAACAATATAGTTATAATTTAAATTTTTTATGTTATATTATTATAACTATATAATAAATAGCAATTTTAATTGTATATCAATAATCATTTTTTCTTATGTTTAATATAAATACATAATAAATAGGAAATTTTTTATTAAACTCATAATTAATTAAGTAGTCATACCTTCTCTTTCATTAATATTTTTATATTACAGATTTTTATTTTTTTTTGTATTTTCCCCCAATTCCTTCTAATTCAAGATCCTTTTGTATGATTGTAGGAGTGATTTTTGTGGTTCAATATATTATACTTATATTTATTTGTATGATTGTAGGAGTGATTTTTGTGGTTAATTATATTATACTTATACTTGTGGTTCAATTAAATGTCAAATGTTTATATTTAATACAAACCTATGTACATAGATAATTGTATTGTAATATTAACAAAATGGTGATTTGTGAATACAAATATATTTGGATACATAAGTAATTTATCCAATTGATTAGGCAATACAAGTATAGTTGGATACATTAATACTATATTTTTATAAATAAATACCTAAGTTAACGTCAAGCCTCAAGTATTATAGAAAAAAAATAGATCGACGTCTTGTTTTTTTTTTAATTTTTTATATAGTCGAATATTTACACACTTTGATACATACACATTCTATTGTTTTTTCATTTTCTTATTAACAAGAGTGTATTCATATTATAGTATATTGATATATTCATTTTTTTGGTTAACAATAGTGTATCCATTTTTCAAATTGTTGTATTCATATGCTAAAATTGTACTACTTTACCTTGTTTGATATAGTAGTACATTAAATTTTTATAAATACTTGTATCCTTAATATATTAATACTTTAAGTTTTATAAATAGAAACACCAATTTGAATTCAAAGTATTCATTTGCTAATTGTACAAGTAATACATTTTTCTTATTTAGTTATTGTAATCACTACTGTATTACTGTATAAATAATAAAAAATAAAAAACGTATGCAAAAATACAACGAGAAAAGACATGAATAAACTTTTATATTCAAAATTTTATGAATATCTTTATGATTAGTATTTAGTGAATATATTGTATTTAGGAATATAAATACAACCTTTTGCATTACTTGAAACAATCATATTTGCATACAATATGTAATTATTAGTTGGTAATTTAACATTGAAAATTTCAATTATTTAGGAACATAATAAATGATTGATACTTAGAAGTTATGGTAACATATCATACCTTATTTAGTGCATTGTATAAATAATTATAATAACAATAAAATAAAATAAAATAAAAATTTAATACAAACATGCAGCTAGAAATTGACATAAAGTGTAGTCATTTCTAGTAAATAACATATTTATAGCCATTAAACTTTGATAACCTTATAAATATAATTATTTTTTAAAGTTATTCTAAAAATATCTCAATTTACGACTTATCGAAATGAATGCATATGTTTACAAAAGTAACATATTTTATGTTTTTAAGTTAACAATAAATAAACCAATAAAAATGAAATGTGTTAGTTTTAGCAATTGACGTGTTTAATTAAAAAAATTAATTCAATTATCTTATTCTAATTAAGGCAAATAAATAATTAAGCCAAATACCGTTTGTATGTATTTAGAATATTATTTTGTCTATATACAGACATAAACAAAATACTGCATGATAATAAAGCTATAAACAGAGTAAACAAATTTAAGATTCTGATAATTCACACAACTCTATATATATACATATACCCTTGTTGTGTTATTACAAGCCAAAAACTGAAAAAGGGTGTTTTTTTTAGTACTATTTTGCCTATTTCTGATCTGAAATTTCAGATTTTCCGGCGAGAAAATGGCGACGGATATGGAGGTGCAGCAGAACGGGAAGGAGACGGTGGCGGTGGTTAATGGGTGTTGCAAAAAAGGACCTGGTTATGCTTCTCCACTTGCAGCCATGGATGGTCCTAAAGAATCTTTAATTTATGTCACCTGCATATATACTGGTAAAGATTCCTCTTTTTTTTGTGTGTGTGTAAGATTCTTGAAATTGAGGCTTTTTGTTTGTTTGTGTTGTTTGTGAAGTAAAAGTAGTTGAAAAATGAAATCTTTGTTTCTGATTTTGCTCATCAAGTATGGTTTTTTTTTCTGTCTGTTTTATGTTTGTGAAGTAGAACTAGTTTTTGAAAAATGAAATTTTGTTCTCTGATTTTGCTCATCAAGTATGGTTTTTTTCTGTCTGTTTTATGTTTGTGAAGTAGAACTAGTAGAAAAATGAAATCTTTTTCACTAATTTTGCTCATCAAGTATGGTTTTTTCTGTCTTTTGGGGCCTTGGGGGTGAACTTTTCTATGGAAATTCATTTTAAAATTCAGACTTTAGAGGGCCAAAGGGGAATCTTGAGTGTATCAAGTGGTTTCCTGATTCCCTTTGGATTTGGGGGGGGGGGGGGACAGATAAGCTATGGTATGGAAATTTGTTTGAAAAGTTTGATTGCCAAAAGATCTGTGTTTTGTGGGCCAAAAGGAAATCTTGAGTGTTGTTATGGGATTTCATAAAAATATAAGTGTTCTTCAAGCCCCATTAAATTGTAGTTTACATAAAATCAGATAGAAAAAAACAAAAGTGAGGGGGAAGTGTAGAACTGGCAAGTTTTTGTTTTATGGAATCTGAGGTTTTCAAGCTTTCAATAAATATTTTTTGGCATCTTGTAAGTTTCATAATGTTTTGTTTAAATGTTTGACTGTGATCTTTGGCTGCGGATGTGTTGAAAAGTAATTCAGGTTTAGAAAGTTGATTTACTGAACAAAAATTACAAATAGCAAGTAATGTAGCTGCTAATTTTGGATCTACTTGGATGTACAGTTAATATAGTCTGAGGCAGATGGAGCCTATATTCAATGGGTTCGACAAAAATTCGTACATTCAATACAAAATATAGATATGTGTATATGTGAAAAATTACAATCATTTCAATGAATATTACGTTATAAACCTATGATGTCAAAAGCACAATGAGTTCAATGCTGAAATTCCAACTGGATGAATCCGGTCAAGTTTAAATCTTTGATCCACCTCTGAATATGGTTCATTTCTACAGGAATGGGAAGGGGCAAACCCGACTATCTGGCTACAGTAGATGTAGATCCTAATTCACCATCTTATTCAAAAGTGATCCACAGGCTGCCTATGCCTTATGAGGGTGATGAACTTCATCATTCTGGATGGAATTCCTGCAGTTCTTGTTATGGAGATCCATCAGCTGCTCGACGATATCTCGTCCTGCCTTCACTAATGTAAGAATTATAGCTACTCCCTTATATTGTTCATGAGGGAAAAACACATCTTGATGACTATATGCAAGTATAGAACTTATATGATATTCAAGATTTTCGATAATTTAACTCTTGCAGATCAGGACGCATTTATGCAGTTGACACACAAAAGGATCCAAAGGCTCCCAGTTTGTATAAAGTTGTTCAGCCAGATGATGTCGTCAAGAAGACAGGATTAGCATTCCCGCACACTGCTCACTGCCTTGCTTCTGGTGAGATAATGTTGTCATGTCTCGGAGATAAAGATGGAAATGCTGAGGGGAATGGATTTCTTCTTCTCGATTCAGATTTCAACGTGAAAGGAAGGTACTGTATTGTTGTACTCTCTTGAGTCCCAAATTTCCCTCTGCTGGTTTTGTTTGTTTCAACTTGCCTTGGCCTCTCGTGGATGGTTATATTTTAAAACCAACTGAGTAGTTAAGAGCAAGAAAATTACAGAATCCCTGCATGTGATTGGATAAGTCCTCTATTGATTCCTTGTACCTCGATTATCACCTTGTTTTGTTGTAGTTAATATTCTGGTACTATTTGTTGTTTCTTTACTTCCGTTACACTGGGTGTGCTGTTGTTGTTGTGATCAGGCAAGTCCAAGGATTGTTTGTTATTCTATCCTAAATTCGGTTCCTCTTGACAGTTTATCAAGGAAAACTGAAATTATGTAGTTGTAGTGAAACTAGACTATGCAGAGTGTCTAAGCCAAGGCAGATTTTGACTCCTTTCTTATATTTTAGATGGGAGAAACCAGGTCATGGTCCCCTCTTTGGCTATGACTTCTGGTACCAGCCTCGACACAACACCATGATCAGTTCCACCTGGGGAGCTCCATCTGCTTTCACCAAAGGTTTCAACCTGCAGGATGTTGCTGATGGGCATTATGGTCGACATTTGCATGTCTACACATGGCCCGGTGGTGAACTTAAACAGACATTGGATCTTGGGAACACTGGGCTCCTTCCTCTAGAGGTAATAAACCCCTTTACCACCTTTGTAACTTTGCACCATGGTTTATCCTGCTGAATACATAAATATATTCATTTTCCTTCCGGTATATAGATAAGGTTCTTGCATAATCCATCTGAAGCAATTGGGTATGTGGGCTGTGCTTTGACCAGTAACATGGTGCGATTTTTCAAGAATCCAGATGACTCGTGGGGACATGAGGTTAGTAATGGTTTACTACTTACTGGACCTTTCAATTAGTTGTTAGAAGTATCGATCACTAAGTGGATTCCGGAACCAATGCAGGTAGCTATCTCAGTAAAACCAGTGAAAGTGCAGAACTGGATTCTTCCTGAAATGCCTGGTCTTATTACTGATTTTCTGATCTCTCTCGATGATCGTTTTCTATACCTGGCAAACTGGCTACATGGTGACATTCGACAGTACAATATTGAGGACCCTGCCAATCCTAAGTTAACTGGCCAAGTATTTGTTGGAGGAGTATTTCAAAAAGGAAACGCTGTACTCGCTGAGGCTGAAGATGGTTCCACATACCAGGTTGATGTCCCAGAAGTCCAGGTAATTAGAATTGAAAATGTCTCAATAATGTTTTGCTTTCAAGTTCAGGAATACATTTTTACTAAAACAAGCTATATAAGATCTGATCGAATTATAATTCGCCATTAAGCATGTAAATCATGTATAATCTGTCTACTTTTGGAGTCAAATCTGTGGTTTGAAATAATTGTTGATATCGTTAACTTAAAGATAGTTTATGCCTACCTCTTTTTCCCGAAAGTTTAGAAACATGGACAAATCGATGTATAAATGACCTTCTGTGTTACTTCCAGGGACATCGGTTGAGAGGAGGGCCTCAGATGATACAACTGAGTCTAGACGGAAAACGTTTGTATGTCACAAACTCATTGTTCAGTACATGGGACCGTCAATTCTACCCCGAAATGATAGAGAAAGGAGGTCACATGTTACAAATCGACGTTGACAGTGAGAAAGGTGGACTTGCTATTAACCCAAGATTTTTCGTTGATTTCGGAGCTGAACCTGATGGTCCATCTTTGGCTCATGAAATGAGGTATCCTGGTGGTGACTGCACTTCTGATATTTGGATATGAGTGTCTAAAATCTCATAAAGAATAAAGTCTGGTGACTCTGGTCCCATTGTATTGCATTTGTTTATTGCAAATCCTCCTCAAACTCCCATGTACCTTAAAACTACACCATTTCAGTGTCTCCTTAGCTTTGTCTTGATTTCAGTACTCTGGTTATCCCTTCTTTATATTAGCTCTTTGTTAAATAAAGTCTTTTTTTTTATTTCTCGTGCAACTTTTTAGACCATGGTTTACTTTCTTTTTTTTTGAGCAAACTAAAAAACTTGTGAGAAAACGTTAGACTATGGTCATAAATTTGTAAGTTTGCAAACGTTGATCGTAGTCTAGTGTTTCCTGCTTTTCAGAAGGATTAATTTTTTCAAAGGTTATATTACACAATTTTAAAATAGGAACAAAATCGCGGCCTTTTTCGTGCAAGTCAATCAACATTTTTATCATTTGAATCTGTTTATTAAAAATTCTAATTTTATCTCTGATTTAATTGAACATTGTTTTATGTTAGACCTATAGATATATTGTTCGATAGATGTGAAATTATGACAAGTGAATGTGTTAAAAAGGTGGATAAATAGTCCTAAAACTTATATGGAATGAAGTGAAGTAGTTTTAAAAGACTCGTAATTGCTTGATATTGATATTGATTTAGCTAAAGATCGGGTGGCGATGAGCGGATAGTTTTAGAGTCACTCTCATTATTTAGTATTATCAAATTGAAGATTCGTAACTTATTTGAGACTTAGTGTAGTCTTTCTAGTGCCCGCAGCCAACAAGATTCTTTTTAACATAACAGAGCTCGAATCCAAAAGTTAAAGGTCGAGGAATCCTAACCATCCCGCCACAACTTGAGTGTTCAATAGCTTAAAGAATTTTTGTTTCCTGAAATATTTGAAGTTAAACCACTGGTTATGAATGCAGCACTTTCATTTTCTTCACCAACTCCAACGATGCGCCAGATTCCATTTCCCTACGGAAGGCAGAAAATTACATGCTCACATTATCAAGATTGGTTTATACGACTGTTCCTTAAAGCTTTGCAACAATCTCATAGACATGTATGGGAAATGTGGCCTTCTTGATGATGCCTTACAACTGTTCGACGAAATGCACCATAGGGATTTAGCTTCATGGGCCTCTGTTTTTACTGCACATAACGAAGCTAATCAACCCCAGAAAACTCTTCTCCTCTTTCGCAACATGTTTTTAGATGGTCTTAGGCCTGACCATTTCGTTTTTGCTAGTGTTGTTAAGGCTTGTGCTAATTCGGGTGCGTTGAGAGTTGGTAAACAAGTGCATTGCCAGTTCTTGAAATCGGTGTTTTCGGTTGATGATGTTGTTAAGTCTTCGTTAGTTGATATGTATGCGAAATGTGGATTACCGGATAATGCAAAATCGGTTTTTGACTCGATTTTGGTTAAGAATTTGATTTGTTCGAGTGCAATGATATCGGGGTATGCTCGTTGTGGGAGGAAGAATGAAGCTTTTGCGCTACTAGGGGAGTTGGGAGAAAAGAATTTGCAATGTTGGACTGCTTTGATATCTGGGTTCGTGCAAAACGGGAACTTGATTGATGCAGTTGATGTATTTCTTGAAGTAAGAAGAGAAGGGGTTGATATGAGGGACCCGTTTATTCTTTCGAGTATAGTAGGAGCTTGTGCTAGCTTAGCTGCACTGCAACTCGGGAAACAGATTCATCGATTAGTTTTAGGGCTCGGTTATGAATGTAGTTTGTTTGTTAGCAATGCCCTTGTGGATATGTATGCAAAATGTAGTGATATTGTGGAAGCTAAGAAGATATTTGATAGCATGTTGACAAGAGATGTTGTATCTTGGACCTCAATTATTGTCGGGATGGCGCAGCATGGACAAGCTATTGAAGCTTTGTCGTTATATGATGATATGATCTTGGCTGGCCTTAAGCCAAATGAAGTAACTTTTGTTGGACTAATCTATGCTTGTAGTCATGTTGGATTAGTAAACAAAGGTAAGAGTCTTTTTAAATCCATGATTGACGATTATAAGTTAAGTCCTTCTCTGCAGCATTACACGTGCTTGTTAGATCTGTATAGTCGTTCAGGTCACCTTGAGGATGCTGAGAACCTTCTTAACACGATGCCGTTTCAGCCTGATGAAGCTGTTTGGGCTGCTTTATTAAGTGCTTGTAAGCAACATGGAAACACTGAAATGGGAGTCAGGGTCGCTAATCGCTTACTAATTCTCGGACCAAAAGATCCTTCAACTTGTATACTGCTGTCAAATACATATGCTGGTGCAGCTCTGTGGGACAATGTCTCTAAGTTGAGGAAGCAGATGGCAAATTTGGAAGTGAGAAAAGAACCTGGCTACAGTTCTATTGATTCGGGAAAAGAAACTACGACGTTCTATGCAGGAGAAGCATTGTATCCAATGAAGGACGCGATTTTTTCCCTCCTAAAGGAATTTGATTCTGAGATGAGGAAGAGAGGTTATCTTCCCGACACCACGTTCGTTTTACATGATATGGAACAGCAAGAGAAAGAAAGACAGCTCTTTTGGCATAGTGAGAGATTGGCTGTGGCTTATGGAATTCTGAGAACTGTTCCTGGATCAGTAATAAGGGTGGTGAAAAACCTTCGAATTTGTGGCGATTGTCACACTGTTATAAAGTTTATATCAAGCATTACAAGCCGAAAAATTGTCATTAGAGATGCAAATAGATTCCATCACTTCAATGAGGGGGCATGTTCATGTAATGATTTCTGGTGATGGTATCTTCAGCTGTTAGATGTCTATCGCCCTCGAAAGTTTCAAGCTACACTATTGACATCGATCCTTGGAAACAGAGGCGGAGCCAAAAGTTGAAACTTGTCGGATCTAGATAAGAATGTTGAAGATTGCATCTGATTTTCTCAGGAAACAAAATGCTACATGCTTATTGAATAATGCTCTACAACTTTATGTCCTCATAAATATATGTTAAGTTCTATCAAATCTAATCAATACCAATCACTATATTATCAGTGCAATCTCAGGTTTGTTGAAGGAAATATAATCTGAAAAACCAACTCGCCGGTAGCTATTCAGATCTTGCATCTTTCATAGCTAAAAAATGAGGAATCATTTGTATAAGTTGTCAATTTGCTCTTTGTAAAGAGCTGCAACTCTGTCTCTCTTGATTTTCATAGTTGGTGTTAGCAAGCCACTATCAATCTGCAGTAAATAAAAAGGTCTAAGATACAGAAATCAACTGACGTTAAACTCGAATCAAATTTGGTAAAGAGGTATCGCGATAAATGGTACCGTGAAAGGTTGATCAACAACAAGGATAGGTCCAACTTGAAACGAGCAATCTGAAGTCCTGTATTTGTTAAATAAGAGGGGAGATGATTTTTGTTCTAACAGAACTGAAAACGACATATCAGGGTCAATGTAGAAGGTGCAAGCAAGTGCTTACCATTTTCGCAACTCTTCGTGTAATAGGCCAAGTGCTTTATCTTTGCTAACTTCAGTGGTTTCAGAATCAACAATAGCTGATCTTTTAGCTGCTAACAGAACCTCTTCCTTGTTTGGTACAATTATAGCTCCAAGACGCCGTTGATCCTACATGTTATTGATGTCAAACTTATGGAACGTGAGAGAGTATCTTAACTACGCGCTCAATAATAGCATCTCACCTGACCAATGATAACGATCTGCTGGATCAGACTGCTTCCCATAGCAGCTTCTTCAATCTCCGATGGTTCAACATTCTCACCTAGTTTTTCCACATACATATAATAAAGTTCAAAGCTGTGGATTACAAAATTACTCGTAAGATGAAACCCGTCTCTATGCAGTTTACCAAATAGAACGTCATCTTCGATAACAATCCACACAATAAAGGCTCTAATTCCAAAACACATTACTGACAGAATGCCAGAACAACGACAAACTTAATGTTACTAGAGTAGTCCAAGAGCAGACACACTAGAAGTAATTATAGCTTACCAGTTGAAAGGACTATGGTATCCTTTGCACGGCCTTCAAGGACTATTGCACCCCCACAATTACGACTTCTCCCTATAGAGAGATCAGGCACAATCCACCCAAGATCACCAGTGTTCAGCCATCCGTTCTCATCAATAGCTTGTTTTGTTGCCACCGGATTCTAAAGAAAATTTACGAGATATTGATGGTTAATTAACACATATAGCTCAAAATGACTGCCAATGAAGGCAAAACATACTTTTGATGTCTTTTATTATGACCAACACGTAAAATAGCAACTCTTTTCCAATAAAATGAAGCAGTGTCGCAATAAAATAAAAGGTAAAGAAAAGTAATGATGCCTCGTCATAGATGTCCGAGGGAAGACAACAACATCATACCCAATGTAATCCCACAAGTGGGGTTTGGGAGGCTGGATGTACGCAAACCTTACCCCTACCTTTGTGGGGTAGAGAGGTTGTTTCTGATAGACCCTCGGCGTCCAAGGGAAGACAAGAATATATAATTTCGGATCAAGCTATTGCATTGCACTAATGGGTCTAACTAAGAGGAACTACAGAACTCATTAAACAAAAAAAATATGCACTAACCTTGTAGTAGCCTTTCATTATAAGTGGCCCTCTAGCTTTGACTGTGCCTTTTGAGCCAGGAGGAAGGACTTCATCTGTTTCAGAATTTACGACTTTTACCTCTACATGCCGAATGGGGCGACCAATTGAGCCAAGCACCTTCAGAGATCAACAAGGACTATGTTATATGATACCACATTCTGAAGTATGCACAGCTAAAGCAAAGTAACGATAGAAACTAGCCTACGAATATGAAAAATACAAATAGCATTTTTGTATGGTTAGAAGCAACAAATGTGCCATTATGAAACAATTTGACATGATGGTTGTGGTATTATGACATCTTCAATGGATACAACTCAATGGTATTGATCTGCACCTATTTCATATAAGGCATCCCTATAAGAAACATCATTATCAAAGAAGTAGAATTCTTTCGGTTCCATATCTATAAGATACAATACTCACGTTACATGTAAGACTCCGTGCAGCAATCACAGGAGCTGACTCTGTCAAGCCATATCCATTCTGAATCTTTATGTCAATTGCCTACGAATTACAAAACCGCATATAAGGAAGGATCACCAATCTAATCGTCTACTTACAATAAGACTATAGGAACTACTAACCTCGAAGAATTTGTCTACATGGGAAGAAAGACTACCACCCC